TTTCAATGCAATTAAAGGTGACGATTAGAAGGTGCCCCTTCGAAAAAAAGGAGAATAGGGTATTTTTTCATCAAATCAATTTATTTAATACATTTGATCTGCAAACTAATATGATACTCCCTTCATCCCAAAACAAGTAATAAGTTGCACTAAATCAGCGATACTTATTTTATCATAAATTGTACTAAATCAGCACATTTATTTTGAGACGAATGGAGTAGCCTTTTTACGTAACTTTAAGATTTGCGCAAACTTTTAAACAGTGCATTGAAGCAAAACTTTAACGTGCATTGTACGTACACAATTACTAGTGACACAAATAACGCATTTTGTATGATTGATAGGTGGGTCAAATCAATAGTTGTCAAACGTACTGTTCAATTATTTTGCATCGGCGTTGTCGGGTGATCTCATTCTATGGTCGTTGGACCGCTCCGTCGCCACAGGAAGTAATTAATAATCTCCACCCGTCCTCTCCTACTTCCGTTCAGCGGCTCTTGCAGCTCGCTCACCTTCAAATCTCCTTAAAAAAATCGCCGATTTGCAGGGGAGGGGGGCAAGAAATGGGGATGAGATGCCACGTCGTCGCGGTGCTGGGCGTGGCCTGCACTGTGGCCGCCGCCGTCGCCGCCGACAGGGAGCTGTCGTTCGCCGGCGCCGTGGCGCCGCCGGAGGAAGCGAGCTACCTGCGCAAGCTGGCCTGCTCCCTGTGGCAGAGTGACGGAACCACCTACCACCACGTGTGGCCGGTAATAACTGAAGCCTTTCTTCTGTGTTGATTTCGAGCTAGAGCTTGTGCAGCAACACATATCAACAAATTAAGCTGTTTAAATCCAGTCTTCACGAAATTTACATGTAGGCTAGTTAAAATTGAGCTGACTCTTTTGATGGTTCTGTTCTGACCCATTCTGCACTTCATTTCTATGCATGAGTCGCAGTTAACTGAGATGAGTTGCTAATTTGGTGCTTCTTATCTGTACCTTTCTATGTAGCCCATGAAATTTGGGTGGAAAATCGTGTTGGGGTCATTCATTGGATTCTTCGGGGCAGCGTTCGGCAGCATCGGCGGTGTAGGTGGTGGTGGGATCTTTGTGCCGATGCTGACCCTGATCATTGGCTTTGATCCCAAGTCATCCGCGGCGATGTCAAAATGTGAGGATTCAGTTCATACTCGTGCTATAATTTTCGTCTACTCAGATTGCATTACTGTTCTTTATCTATATTCAGATTGTATTATTTGCATGAAGGCATACATATCTTACCGAGTAATTTGGTGAAGATATCTGGAGTCTCCCATTTCTTTCCGTTTGCTATACATGCATACATGGGCCACTTATCCTGCACATTATGACATTCTAAACTAGCTTCAAACAATCAAGTATAGTTGCATATTTGACAATAGAAATAAAAACACTTCAAAAAATAAGTTTGTCATAAAGCATTCTACAAATTCAAGTTCAAGGTACATGTCAAATGTATCCGATTGATTGAACACGGATTTTTCTCTTAAAAAAAGGTGAAAAAATAGATAATTCATCACGGGAGAACGTATCTTTGGAAGTTTTATTAGGCTCATGATTGATTCTGAGAACTGAGATAATACTCTGCCACAGGTATGATCATGGGGGCTGCCGTGTCAACCGTGTACTGTAACCTCAAGCTGAAGCACCCGACATTGGACATGCCAGTGATAGACTATGATCTGGCCCTACTCATTCAGCCCATGCTCATGCTAGGGGTCAGCATTGGGGTTATCTGCAATGTGATATTCCCTGACTGGCTCGTCACAGTCCTCTTGATCATTCTCTTCATAGGTGCTCAGACATTGCCCTCAAACTGCAGCAACCGTTAATCCTAAGCAATGAATTCGTAGCTGACTTCAAAATGGTTTCCAAATTAAATTCCAGTTACTTCAACCAAAGCTTTTCTGAAGGCTGTAGAAACATGGAAGAAAGAGACGATAATCATAACGGTAATGTTTTGTTTTTCTGGATACCTGTATTTTCATTTTTACATCACATCAGGGATGCTGATAAGTGATAATCACTTCGTTTGGTTATTCATTCAGGAGACAGCAAAACAATCACAGCAAACAAGTAATTGACCAATAAACCGAATTATTCATCATTTATGAAGCGCGGAAAAATGTTGCTTACATTTTCTATGGGATATAATGCCGCGTCTATCTGCAGACGAAGAACAGGTGTACATGCCGCTGTCTGCAGGACTTGACGCCGCATCTCAGTCTGAAATTCTGTCAGATGATGATCAAAATGAAACCCCATCAGACGAAGCGGTGAAATAAAAACCGATGAACATTAATTCCCTGGCCTTGGAAACAATCATCTTAAGGACTCATAAGACTAGAGCTGGTCTGATACTGCAGGTATCCATTTGGAAGAATGTTTACTGGAAGGAGGTTGGCCTTCTTGCCTTCGTTTGGGTAGCATTCCTTGCGCTTCAAGTCACTAAGGTGTGAAACTCAACTGCAATTTGAAACTATAATAACATGAATTCCAGTAAAATTATCAAGTACTTTAAATTTTCAATGATCAACTGCTTTATTAAATATCAATTGTTCCCTTTTACAATACCAAGCTGTGCACTTGTGTGTTCAGTTTCCCTGTTCCCTATGTTATCCATAACTGTATTCAGTAATCTAGTTCAGGTTGCACAGAAAGATATTCTAAATGGAAAACTACTACATGCAACTCATGTTCTTACAAAAAAAAAAGATGTTGTATATGAAATTACATCCGGAGGATTGGTAATATCGACAGTAACATCTGGCTTATGTTAATTCTTCATGTTTGCAGAACTACATGGCAACTTGCTCCATCTGGTACTGGGTTCTGAACTTACTCCAGGTACTGTACCGACTCTCTTCATCTCGGTATTCAATCAAGCGCATACAAAATTGATCCATAGTTCATTTACATGTTGGATATGTGTGCAGATCCCTGTGTCTGTTGGGGTGGCCATGTACGAAGCAGTAGGTTTGGTGCAGGGGAGGAGGGTGATATCATCAAAGAAGAACGAGCATAACAGCCTGAGAGCTCATCAGCTATTGGTATACTGCTTCTTGGGCGTCACTGCTGGTGTCGTCGCCGGTCTGCTTGGCGTTGGTGGGGGCTCCATCATGGGGCCTCTCTTCCTGGAGCTCGGTGTTCCTCCGCAAGTAAATCGATCTTTGTTCACTCATGTTAATAACCTTATGTTTTGATCATGGTTTCTACTTTCTACTACCTATTTATGGCACATTCGACCTGTCTGTACTGCAGGTCGCAAGTGCTACAGCCACCTTCGCGATGATGTTCTCATCTTCCATGTCCGTCGTAGAGTACTACCTCCTGAACCGGTTCCCTGTGCCATATGGTACTGCCTCCATTTCCTCTGATATATCCTCCCATGATTATCTAGCACTTGTTACTTATTCTCTGAAATGAAACCTGTGCAGCTGTCTACTTGACCATCCTGGCGTTTTTCGCTGCGATCATTGGCCAGAGGGTTGTGAGGAAGCTAATTGATCTGCTAGGGCGGGCGTCGATCATCGTCTTCATATTGTCCTTCATGATCTTCATCAGCGCACTCTCTCTAGGTACCAGGTTTCCCTCCCCTCACTCCCAGTGCAAGTGTGCAACCATCACATGGTTTCGAACCGAACATCAGGCCCTGAAATTTTTGTGCAGGCGGAGTCGGCATCTCCAACACGATCCACAAGTTCGCACGGCATGAGTACATGGGATTCGAGAACATCTGCAAATATGACGCGTAGGATGCCACAGCCTGCAGGCGTGCATGAACAGAGTGATGTATTGTGCAGTACACTGGACTTTGGAAATGTCAAGGTGACCAAAGGCTTGGAGCTCAGGATTCCATCGGGTGGTTTAACAAGGTGAACAAGGCTTGGAGTATTCCAAAGTCCTTGTAAATTGCAAATTGTAAGAGCTAAAATGTAAACTGTAAATGGTTACAATTAAAGAATTTACAGTTTAATCTTGCCCCCTTCTCCCTTCTCTGCATTGCTCTATTTTTTTAAAAAATTAAAAAGTTCATTGTGATTGCTATGTCTAAAATTTCATGAAGTTAAACACCCTTTGTAACATTTCCAATTTACCACTAAACAGTCTTGTTTAACTTTTTCAGGGGATTGTTTAGCAGAAAACATCAGAGAACAACATCAATAATTTTTTTTTGAGACAATACAACATCAATAAATGAAAAACTCAACTATTTATGGATCCCAAGACGACGGGGTGCTGACCACGCCAGACCAGACCTGGGTGAAAGCACATGGGCTTGACCTGGAAGGGGGCATGTCAGGGTCAGGTGGCGCCTCTCTAGGGCATTTTCTATACGGCGCTTTAAGCGGCCATTAAAGGCAATTCTGCCAACTGGCGCATACCCCCTACGAGCTGGGTCGGCCCATCTTTTTTTCTTCGGAAATGTTAACGCCCATACGTGTGGGCGTTTGCACATCGCACACACGCCTCCACCACCACTCATTTTGCCACGTATGAATAGATGACATCAGCAGAATTTTTTTTGGTTTTCGGCTTAAAAATGTTGTATCTCCTAAATAAAAAATCGAACTAAAAATCCGTTTTCACCATTAAATCCGTCTCGACGAGATCTTCAAAACTAGACCCCATGTTGATATGTTTCGATGATTTTTTTTTTTGCCAGAAGTTGCCACGATGTTTACACTGCAGTTGCCATAGGGCTTAAACTAAAGTTGCCATGTGGCAATTTTAGTTTGTAGATCATGGAAATTTTAGTATTTTGATGATGGCAACTCCAGTACTTTGACCATGAAAATTATTTTTTGTATGAACCATGGCAAATTGACGTGCATGTATCATGGCAATTTTAGTTTATGGTTCATGGCAAGTCTAGTTTCTTAATTCCCCGCTTTATAAATGTCAAAATTTACTTTTGAAATGTAGAAGAAAATAGCTGAAACATATCATGGCAACTTCAGTGTAAATATCATGGCAATTCATATGCAATAGACATGGCAACTTTTAATCCAAAAAAAAATTCATCAAAACATATCAACATGGGATCTAGTTTCGAAGATCTCATCGCGAGGGATTTAATGGTGAAAATGAATTTTCAAACAGATTTTTCGTTTAAGAGATAAAACATTTTAAAAACTGAAAATCCAAAAAGATTCCTACATGCATGCATGTGATGACGTGGCAATCTGTTTAAATTAGAGACGTGTGGTGCGTCTCCCTTCCTTGGACGAGACTTGCCTGCTCCCCGCCCGTGTGCCCATCCGTGCTCCCACATACGTGGCTTGATTTGATTGGAACAAAGTAAGGCCCGGCCCCACCCCCTTAAAATCAAGGGGGGGAGATGATTATATTAGAAAGGAAAAAGGAAAAAAGACAGTCGTAGGATGATGTGGGAGCACGGATGGAAGTATGGGGAGGGAGCAGGCAAGCCGGATCCCCCTTCCTGCCACACGTGTGGCAGTTAGCGCGACCCTTTTTCTTTTCTCTGTTAAATTCCAAAAGAACTCGTGATCTACCAATTCACACAGCAGCGCACTAACCACTACGACAACGCAACAAACGTGATAGATTACTTCCTTTTCTTTTCTCATTATCTCCCTTGTTCGCGGCAGCCCCGGTTTTGGGAAGCTTCCTAAACTGTTTTTTTCCGGTTCGCTGGTCAGTTTTCGGGCGGTTTTTCTTTTTTTTCTTTATTCTTTTTCTCTTTTCTTGTTCTTTTTTGTTTTCTTAAATTTCATGAACACTTTTTCAACAAATTTTCAAAATCGATGAATTCTTTTTAAATTCGTGACTTTTTATAAAAAAATGATATTTTATTTCGAAAATTGATGAACTTTTTAAAATTTGTGATTTTTTCTTAGAATTAATAAAAAAAAATCAAAACCGATGAACTTTTTAAAAATTTGATGAACTTTCACGATTTGTGAAATTTTACACAAAACCAATGAATTTTTTCTGATATTTACGATTTTTTTTCAAAAAAAAGAACTTTCTAATAATTGACGAACTTTTTTCAAAATTGTGAACTGTTTTTTTCAAATTCGTGAAATGTTCTAAAGTTTGTGAACCTTTTTGACATTTCATGAACTCTTTTGAATTCAGGAAATTTTATGATTTAAAAAAAATCTGGATTTTTCGGGTTTTTCTATCGGTCAACAAGCGGACTGGTCGAACCAGGCGCCCACTCAGCCGCTCGCTCGGTCGCGCGTGAAGCCTGCCTTGGCCGGCCTACGAATGCCTACAGGTGAGCGCTGGTTGCTTTACGAGCGCAGCAAGCACTGTACAGGAGGTCCCCCCTCTCTAGAGCGTCACAAGCCCACAAATTTATTGTCGCCGTCCTTTGACCCCAGATCACGTATATTCTATTTTTTTCAAAAAAAAAACGTATATCCTCTTTGGCGCGTAGGTCCCAAATAGCTACTACCTGATACGTGGCCCCATCCGTATGCAGGTATTCTATCTCGTCAGGCCCATGTTAGTTTTTATCCAAAAGGTTCTAGATCCTTCCCTGAACCGGCTTATTTCTTTTTCATTTGGCATTTCCTCTTCTTTTTAATTTTAATATTTTTATGTTTTCTAGTTGTTAGAGTACGTGATGGGTCTAATGAGCCCGTTAGTCTTAGGGTTAATTAGAGATAAGGATCGCTTGCTTAAGGGTCAAGTAAGCCTTGCTTGGGAGTCAAGTAAACCTCTCTATATAAAGAGAGGAAATATATCAATCTAATCAAGCAAGAATTAAAAAGGAAATCCGTTTCCTCTTGCCCGGCCGTGGGCAAAAAGGCCCTCGGTCGGCCCTCTCGCGTCATCCTTCTAGCAGCGCCATAACAATTTGGTATCATGTAGCTCAGTTCCGATCATGTCTTCGTCGCCGCCCACCCCATCGCTTCCGCAGCCGACCGTCACCACCGCGTCGCTGGCCATCTACACTGTGGCGCTGCCCTCCCCGTCCGCGCTGCTGGTCCCATCCTCCGGCATCGCCACCGCCCAGATGCCGGCGCCCTCCACCGCACCACCGGCCGCCGCCTACACCCCGGAGGAGATCACCTGGGTCCTCAACGACCTCGTCACAGTCGTCTAGGGGATTCGGCTGTACCTGGCCAGCCCCTACGGGCCGCCGCCGCCCCTGCCGCCGACCGTTGCCATCGGGCAGCCGGCCCTGCCGTGGTACTTGCCGCATCTAGGGGCCTCCGCGGCGTTCGCTGGGACGATGCAGCCCCAGCTGCACCTACTGCCGCCGCCCTACAGTGGCCGCAGTGGCCGGCGCCGGCTCCCGCCGCGCCTCCAGCGCCCATCGTTGCCTCCGTGCCGCCGTGGCTGCCATGGCAGCCGCCGCACCAAGCGGCCTTCACCGCGCTCGCCGGGCCACTGCAGCAGCCGCTGCAGCTGCCATCCATCGCCGCCACCGCCCAGCCTGGGCTGCAGTGGCAGCTGTCGCTCCTGGCGGCCTCCGCCGCGCCCGGCGCTCCGCCGCAGCAGCTGCTGCAGCTGCAGCTGCCACTGCCGGTCAGCTCCGGCCCCGCCTCGACCGCGTCGGTGGGAGTCCCGCTCCACCAAGTCCAGTCCCTGTCGTCGCCGTCACCGCTTCCGTCTTGGATCGCTACACGCCACGTGTTGGTGACGGTGAGGCTACAGGTTGCTGCGCGCGGCCTCCTAGCACGTCGGCGTGTGCGGGAGATGCGTGGTCTGCAGCTGCCGTTCCTTCAAGTTGCCCTTCACTGCGCAAAGGACCTCGATCTCATCCGCTGCGTCGGGGATCTTGGGCATACGGTTTCCCCCACGGGCGGCGGGCGTGTTGTTTTCCCCCGTGGGCAGCGACCTCAAAGTCGGCGATATCGGCGGTTGGGGGCGCACCCCTCCTCATCATTCTCCGTCGCAAGCCCTCCACTCTTCTCTGTGCAGTGCAGACCAACAGTCATCCGGCGAGGAAACGACATGGTGTCACCGACAGGAGCTCACCGCGTAGCACCACTGCATTCTGCCGGCCGCCGCGAGGGCGCCTCTGCTGGTCGCTCTTGCGACCCTTTCCAGGTGGCCATACACATGCACTCCTTTTGTCCAGATGGTGTCCATGGGATCCAGTGGCTGTACACGTGCACGTCCGACGTGCGGATGGTGTCCACTTTTTGTTAAGGGGTCCAAAATAAAGCGCCCAGTCCATTTCAGGTTGAGAATAATAAAACAAGCCGAGATGTAAAAGGCTTATTTTTAGGTATTAGGTTTGTGTTGCATCGAGTCATGGTTATAAGTTGGTTAGGCTGCAGCTCGAGGACAAGCTGCATGTCCAGCTGGGGTGTAGTGTTAGAGTACGTAATGGGCCTAATGGGCCCGTTAGTCTTAGGGTTAATTAGAGATAAGGATCGCTTGCTTAAGGGTCAAGTAAGCCTTGCTTGGGAGTCAAGTAAACCTCTCTATATAAAGAGAGGAGACGTATCAATCTAATCACGCAAGAATTAAGAACGAAATCCCTTCCCTCTTGCCCGGCCGTGGGCAAAAAGGTCCCCGGCCGCCTCTCGCGCCCTCCTTCTAGTAGCGCCATAACACTAATTTTTTAATTTTTTTCTTTTCCATTTAAATTTATTTTTTCGGTCTCGATTTTCCTTTTCCTTTTTCATGTTCGTTTTTACTTCTTTTTCTCTTTTTTCTTTCCACATTTACTTTTTCATTTGTGATTATATTTTAAATTCGTGAACATTTCTGTGAAACCACGAACAGTTTTGGAAGTCATGAACATTTTTAGAATTTGTGAACACTTTTT